GCTTCCCATTTGTCTAAGGGACATAACACCTACCTCATGGTGTGGTTATGATGTTAACTCAGTGATTAATGGAAGTATGGGACAGGCCTAGCAGCAAAAGCTCCAGAACTTCAGGCAATAAAGTAAGTGTTCTCCAAGGACAACTAAGTCTGCACCCACAGCTACAGAAGCACGTGTACTTATGTGCACTTATATTGAAAGAAGCCATCATTGTTTAGGTCTCCTCAAGAGGCTCTCAAATCGGACTTTGCTTGCTCTTGTTTTTGAAGCCATTTTTGGACCCACGGTAGAACCAGATATACTTTCAGTGCCGCAGGAATTCTCGGAAACCATCTGGACAAGAGGCTTTTACACAGTGATGAGGGCACCCTGACAGTTCTGCAGAGGCCGGCAGAGGAGGGTGGGACATGGGACAAGGTGCTCTGGGCTTCTTCCGCCTGCTCCTGGCTGCCCCACTCCCCTTCCACTTCTGTACATATTGGGGTCCCAGCCAGGAGTTCATTTGCACGAGCCTTTCCCATGGTTAAGGGCATGGTTTCGGAGACAGACAGACCCTGGTTTGTATCCTGGTTCTGTCACTGAGTTGCTCTGTGAAATCCTCAAATTCCTCGTCTGTGAAGTGGAAATAATGATATCTTTTATGGGACAAATAATGGGGTAACAAAGTTCTTAGCATGGTACCTGACACACAGCAAACTCCATGAATGACACCTACTCTTGTTGGCTGCATTTCTAACTCAAAGAGAATTTCGAGACTCTGGGGACCCTGGTAGAGGCTGCTGTCATCAAGAAAGCCATTGAAAAGAGATTCAGAATATCAGAGATCTAGACCCTGCTCACTTGGCTTGGCGACTGCACCCTGAGCTTCATCTTCTGAAAGTTGTGTCACAGACTTTATATTAAAAGGAACAACTAGCTAGACCAGGGCCTGACACATAATTGGAGTGCAATAAATATCTGAATGAATAAATGGACCAGACACCTGAAAAATAGACATGTTTCATATTTATCTATTATAATAGTAAATCTAGAACAAAATCCAAATATAAAAGATTTTATGAAATGTTTGTATTATAGTTATTATGAATAGTAAGTTCACTGTCTCATTAAAATACTTCCTAAAAGTGCCTCGCTGCCGGCTGAGGCCTCTCCGATGATCCTTGGGATTTGCCTGGCTCAACCAGGCGGAGGCAAAAGATCTTTGGATAGGAGACCTGGATTTACTCCAGGTTCTGCTACTTAGGAGCGAGTCACTTGAGCTTCAGTTTCTTCCTCTGGGGAGTGGGAATAACAACACCACCCAGGCTACCGCACGGGTCCACTGTAAAAGTCATGGGACGACAGATGCGCCAGCGCTGTCCAAACTACGAAGTGCACCTGGCACTTAAAGTCCGATGACAGTGATGCTCAGCCCTCTGCCAAGACTCACATCACCTCCCACCTGGAATCTTCTCCAGCTCCCCTCTGCCTACCCAAATCCTCCCCTAGTTCGAGATCTCCCCCTTCCAGAGCTTTCCACCCGACCCTGAATGTGATCCTTCCCTCCCAGCTCTGCTTTTGCTCATTGCCCTGAAGGTTCACGTTTGTGATTTATCATGCACACACGCTGTGCATGCTCTGGGGTGTTTCCAGCTCAGGTGGACCTGCGTGGGGTCCCGGCTATGGCGCTTGTCCCTTGGGAGACCTGTGGCAGCCCACCTGACACCTCTAAGTCTCATCTACAAAACAGGGATGGTGATGACTCTCACAGATTTGCTCTGAGGAGTAAATGAGATCCTTCACGTCAAGTACTGGACTCAATGCTGGGCACAGAGCGAGCACCCAGACAACCGCAGCTGTTACAGGTGACTGAATTTTGCTCCTTCACTGTGTCCTGAATTTGTCCTATCACCCCAACTGGATTTTAATCCTTGAGAGCAGGGTCCCTGTCCTATCCACTTCTTTGGTTTCCCCTGACCCCACTGCCACTCTAGAAAAGTGCTGAGTTCGTCATATATTCTCAAAAAAATACCTGTTGAATTGATCAAAACGAATTAAGTTGTTTTCTCCAAAATAGTGACCCAATCTTTATAGTGGCCCATCACGGCCAACTTGACAAAGCCAATGTCCACAGGGTAAAGTAACCTCTTCGGATCCTGCTATCAAGTTAAAAATGTGTGAGGAACACCCAAAGCGCTCAGCCAAGCCATTCACACCATTGAGCTATCCTACCTCGCTGGATGTGCTGCATGAATCAACAGCCTGAAAATATTCTGAGGAAACTGATTTGAGGTGGGAACCTCTGCCAGATTCTGGAGCGTTCTCTTTCCCTGAGACATGAACTGTAATCTTATAGGCGCAGATAGTATCAAAGATGACACGTATGTACGTTTGAACACAGAAAATCCCATACAGCATCCCGAGGGCCATGTTAGAGGAATGCGTTATAGGTGAAACAGTTCTGCTATTTTGCTAACAAACTCCCTTGGATGTCACAGACCTCACGCAGAATTCTACGCCATAATGAGTAATATTATGGGTAGACTCAAGCCATTTACGAAACAAACGTGATTTACATTTGTGAATAAGAACTATTAGCTAAATAAAAGTCCACTTTATTCCACTGTCAACAACAGAATTCTGATTCTCATGTGCTATTAGTAACTATTCTCAATTACTCTAGAAATCAGGTTTACGTCATTTCCCCTTCCCCTTTTTTTTTTTTTTTTTTTCTTTTCCAAACTGACCTGAAGATCACAAGAGAGAAATGTTCTCTGGGAACCATATCACACTTTTCCCAGAATGAGCAGAAGACTGACAATAACCCAGGCATTTTTTGTTTGTTTGTTTTTTGGTTTTTTTTTTTTGCGGTACGCGGGCCTCTCACTGCTGTGGCCTCTCCCGTTGCGGAGCACAGGCTCTGGACGCGCAGGCTCAGCGGCCATGGCTCACGGGCCCAGCCGCTCCGCGGCATGTGGGATCTTCCCGGACCGGGACACGAACCCGCGTCCCCTGCATCGGCAGGCGGACTCTCAACCACTGCGCCACCGGGGAAGCCCCAACCCAGGCATTTTTTAAGCTGGTCCATCTTTTGTCTCTTGATGTCAAAGGCCTCCCTGACCAACAACTGAGAAACTTATCCCAAGCCTGGCCTTTCACTGATGTTCTCTTATCTTCCTGGACTCGAGCTAGGAAAAACGAAGCCAGGCCTGCCCCGTGGAGAGTTTACCTTTTACCGAATTCTGAGCGCTAGCATCTCCCTGCTCTGCCTCCTTCACTCTCTCGTACCCAGAATCCACCTACTGTATAGCGCCCTCACCATTTTCCAAGTAGGGAGCAGAAAGGGGGGAAAAGCCTGTTTTGTTGGAGATGAATGAAACCAAGGATGTGATGTTCTTTTTTATGATAAATGTACGTTTTTCTACTAATAGGCAAGTTCTTCATTTCAAATGGTTAGATCGAGTGGTGCTTTGATATATAGAATTTCCAACCGATCGAGTTTAGGGAACTGAAAATACAGGATTCTGAGTAAGTTGAAGGAACTGAAGAGAGTACAGTCCAGGAATATCCTCCTGCTGGGTCTTAGCGTTTCGCTTGACTGTGAACGTTTTGGGTTCTAGACCTCTGAACAGTAAACAGGTGCTAAGAACAGTGCTGGCTGGCCTCAGTCATGCTCTCTGCCTGGATGGAAAGATTCGTGTGCCTCTGGTGCTCACTTGTGGAAGAAATGCCATTATTTCCCTCCTCTTTTACCTCTACTCATTATCTGTTTGACTCCTTGGTCCTTTGCAACCCACCCTTTCTCTTCCTCAAAGCAAAAGAGTGAGAACGCCCCACTGCCTGGCTTCCTCGTTATTTTAATTGGCAGTACATTGGGTCTGAGCATACATCCTGCTTCCTTAAGACCTATCAACTCTCCCCAGAGATACGGCCATTCTGGCCCTTGCTTTCAATGGCTCTTGCCAGGACCCTCTCCCGTGTTGTTTCCTCGTGTGCGGCACCCAGCTCTCACCCTGTCCCTGGGGCTCGAGGAGGTATTGGGGATGGGCAAGGTGAAGGCCAAGCGCCATGATGTACCCTCCACTCCAACCTCACGGGTACCTCATTCTTCGTGGAAAAATCCTAAATCATGTAATTTTGGGCTCATGGTCTGCAAATAACAAACTGCACAGGCAAGGCCCCTCAGGTATAGTATGTGCACCAAAAACCACACTTGGAGAGAAGGGCAGCATCTTGGGGGACCTACTTATCCATCACGCAGCTACTCTTGTCGGATGGCCTCCAAGATGCTGCTTTGCTCTGCTTGGCCCTGGGGTGAGCTGGGAAGGAGGGTGGGGAGAGCAAAGGCTGGCTCTTCTCTCTGACCACCGATGCTGGTGTGAAATGAAAACAAAGCCAGACAGATGAGAAGTGGCTCCGTGATCGCTAGTCCTATCAAGAGGTGTTTCGGCGGACAATCACACTTTTCTTTTCCTTCCACTTTTTGGCTGGAGAGTTAATTTAATTTTGTCATGGCAGGATTAGCAACCAGGCCACAGAGGTGAAGGGACATTATCGTCAGACAGCGTATTAATCCTCTATCCCACCCAAGGCAGAGGCAAAACCAAACCAATAGCAGCTTCTTGGAAATTGAATTTCTGTTACCCAGATGTCAAAGATGTAATACCCCAATTACACAAACTATTGCCAGTGAAGCATGCCAGTGAATATGCAATGTAAATGGGGTGAATGCAGAGCCACAGAAGTGCACGGTCAGCATCTGGCTCTGGGTGTGAGTGATAATTAGCACTGTGTGTAGACACTAATAAACATTTATGTCTGAAATTACAACTTTTAGCAATGTTAATAAGGGATATATTGGCAATCCGTAAAATAAAAGGTCTTGAAAAGAATGTCATACATTAAGCAATGGCAGACATTTCCCATTCTGGCACAATCTTTTTTTTTTTTTTTCCTTCCTTCTCTCTAATTGCAAATGGCCATGCTGTCTTGCTGAGAAATTCATTGACATAAGAACCTACCTAAAAAAATGGGTTGTGTCTCTTTGGCCTTCCCATTAACATCGGTGCTCAATTCTGAGATCTTACAGACCTCATGGTGATAATCTGGGGTGAGAAGACAACGAAAAATTAGAATTCTAATGACCTACAAGATGTGAATCAGCAAGAAGGGCTAGCATCTCTATATATAGTAGGTATAAGCTACACTTTAATTTATAAATATAATTTTTGAGAACTCTGTTAATCACAGAATTTGTAGTCACTGGTCATCCCTACAGCTTTGCTTACTCTGGAGACGTACACAGACTTGAAATTATTACTTTGACTTTAGAAAACGGCTCTGCTTGATCACACAGTTTTCGCAGGAAATTTGGCCCACAGATGCCAATTACATAGGAGGCTTCTTTTCTTCCAAATGACAAGTATGTTTACAAGGAATAGAAAGAACCTTGCCCAATCAGAGGCCAGGGAAGATGCCAAATTTATCTCTACAACCCATTTTCATGAGAAGATGAATAGTATGCTTTAGAGTTACCTGGTACTCTCAGTTTACCCAGAAAAACCCCAGGCTTCGAGCAGCTTACAGGCAAGCACACATGAAAAATACTGATTTGTTATTTCAAGTATAGTATAATTTGGATAAGAAAGTGAGTCTTGCTTTCAGCTACCGCACTTTAACATGCAACTGTTTATGTTCTAAAAATGCACCTGCAGAGTAGAGAGAAAAATCAGACCCATAATTTTTTTTTTAAAAAAAGGAAAAAAACAAACTTGCTATGTCAGTCAAACTTTAAGACACAGTATTTTACAAGCTTCTCTATAGAGGCTACTGTGCTTTGGCAGTTGTCTGTTTGTAAAAAGTAGGATCGCTTAGGTAAGAAACTAGACTACGTCCCTTGTTAACAGCGATTCCCTTTTTGGGGCCTTAGACCTCCCAGGACAAGGTCTACAAAACTCCTCTCACTTTTAAGATAAAGTAGTACGTTCCCTGAGGTCATAAATAAGAAAGCAGCCTACATTCCAGAATGAATCAGATAGACCAACAGGCCAGTCAAATATGGAGGGACTTTTAAAGTACAAATGACTGAGCAATCAACACTGTACGTAGAGACAAGGAAAAGCCAAATATTTTGAATACGTAAAACGACTTCAGGCTTTTTTCATTAAACAGTATCCGAGCTCAATAGGAGGAAACAGGAGTAGATCTGCAAAATGTCTATAATCAAACCATTTTCAGAGTAACCCAAAGCAGGCTTTACTGAATCTGCATCATAGTTAGCTCAGCTTAGCTGGAAATTGCAATCGCCCTCTAATTTTCATCAGCTTACATGGGACTTCTCCAGGTTGGTAACACAATCGCCTTGCTCTCTGCTCTGATGCCCATGCTAGATAAAACAACAGAGGACCAAAGTGGACAGGTTCTCTGGTTTGGTTCTGACTTCAAGCTGATTCAAAGGCGATACTTAAACAGGAGCATTCTAAACTCAACGTTGGGACTTGTGACATGATGGGGAGAAAAAAGTCACCTGCCTCTAAGGTGACACGATGCATTTTGATAGACACATTTTTACGTCTGCCCTTACGTTCTCATCGTTTTTCGAAGTCACATCAGGAAAAACAGAGACTCTTAACAAGTCACTGACCACAGGCAGGACTATTCAACTTTCCCCTCGCCTGATGAAATAAACCCAAGCCCAGAGACTGCGGTGTACACCTGTTAAATCGTCAGGGGTCGGCTGGATTTTTTTTTTTTTTTTTAATACTTACCTGACGGATAAGTGATCTACTCCAAAACACCTTTCCAGGCCAAATAACGTACCCAGAAAAGATGTTGAATGTCAACAATTCTTATTTGGGCTTGGACACCTAATGAGCGTCTTTCTCCATCTTCCAAACGCCACCAACATCTTTCTTCTTCCTCTTTGGGGGTTGGAAAACACACCGACCCCCAACCCACCACAAGCACTGGTCCGGGTTGGTGTCCGCACCGCCTGATGGTGAGGCGTCCTCCCCCACCCCGCTGCCGAGCCACAGGAGTGGAATACCAAAGAAGGCTCTCCGCGCCCCAAGTGTCATTGTTTGCTAATTTCCTGATGTGCCCTCCGACTTGTTTACGCGGAATCACATCCTGCCTCCCCCACCGGCACAACTTTCCTCGCCGCCCGGCGGCCGCAGCCCCCCCTCGGGAGGGGACCGGGGGTCCCGGGAGCCCCGGCCCCCCGGGAGTTGGCTGCGCGGCCCGGGCGACGGGCAAGGGGCCGGGGGCTGTTTACGCGGCGCCAAGTCCTCGCTCCGCCGCCCGCACGCCCCCCGCCCGGCCCGGCCCGGCCCGGCCAGCCGCTTACCTCGGCTCACCAGTTTGAAGCTCTGGGATTTCCTGCTCCGCTTCCTCTCCGAGAACTCCATGGTGCGGCGGGCAGGCGGGCGGGCAGGGCAGGGGCTGCGGCCGGGAGCGGCCGGCCGGCCGGGCGGAGGGACGGAGGGAGCGGCGGCCGAGGCGGCGGCGGCGACGCTGGCTCTTGTCACCCGGCAGCGGGAGCGCGGAGACCTAGGTCCGTCTCTTGGATCCGCAGGGGGGAGGCACAGGCAAGGGAAAAACCACTCGAGCCCGCCGGGGGCTGCGGCCGGCGGGGCCCGGCGGGAGGCGCTCTCCCGGGAGAAGTTGCCCCCTCCTGGCCGCCGCTCAGCGCGCCCCCCGACCCTGGCTCATCCCCGCTGCCGGGCGAGACGCCGCCGGAGCCGAACTTTCCGTTGGGGAGCGAGTAGTTGGGGGCGGGGAGGGCGGGCCGGGGCTGCCGGCGCCCTGGGCGCTCGCCGCGGGTCGGCCTGGGCGCAGCTCCGGACGCGGCGGCGGCAGCGGCAGCGGCACCCGGGGACGCCTCGGGCGGGCTGAGGGCGGCGGCGGCGGCGGGGTGCCAGCCGGGTCGGGGCGCTGACCGCCCCCGCGGGAGGAGGGGCGCCGGGAGGAGGCGGCGCCGCCGGGACCCCGGGGCCACCTGCTGGCGGAGCGCGGCTGCCGCCGTCCCCGGGGACCCGGGCCGCCGCCACCCACCGGCCTGGCCTCGAGGAGGAGCCGGAGGCCGCGGCGCGGCGCTTTCGGCCCGGCCGGCCGGCCCTCCCGTCCCCCCAGGACCGAGGGCCCTGCCCGGCGCGGGGGTCCGGACGCCGGCGCCGCGGGGGTCGGCGAGCCGGGGCGCCGCTGCCCGGGGGGCCCGGCTCCGGGCCTCGAGCTCGCCTGCGTCTCCTCGTCGCTCCCCGGGGCCGATCTCGTTCTCAACAGCCCTGGGTGTCGGGGACCCTCCTGGCCATCCCACTCCTCGCCTTGGGATTCCGGGTGTGCGAGGGCCAGACTCACTGGTTTCAGGCAAGTTTTAGGGGGGGAAAAAAAATCAACCGAAACCCAAAAACTTACCCATCTGCGCTCTGCAAGGAAAAGAGATTTGAGAATTGTCTGATGAGCCGAGTATGGAAAAGACTGAGCTTCAGTTCTTTACCCCAATACGAGGAGGGTTGTAGGAAGATCGGGAGTTTTGTTCAAGGAGAGAACTTGAAATGGGGGCTTTGGGGAGGGTGGAAGGGGTGAGCGGTGCGACGTCAGGGGGTGCCCGAGCGCTCTGCTGACTCTTAGGGAAGAAATGGCCAAGGCAGGTGCAGAGAGCTCTGCCTTCTGGTGTGACAATGCCAGAATAATTGGAGGAAACCGAAAGCTTGTATTAGTTTTATACAATATTCTTTTCTAGGGAGCTAAGAGCACACCATTGCTTTCTCACAACAACTTTATTGTGGGAATGGAAGAGAATTCTATACCACCTGGGACTGGCGGGACAGAAATGTGATCTGACAAGCTTAAGAGTACCGCCACCAAACTGATCATCTCTAGACTAGAACACAAAGAGAGTAAAGAGATGGACAACCCATCCAGCACTGTGACAAGTTCAGGTGGCCTCAAAAGAGTAGAGAGGAATAAGGGGAAAGGGTATGTTGATAAGTGTGGTAACAGGTTCCACTGCGACTCTCGCTTAAATGAGGAGACAGCAACCTGAGTAAACATATACACACCAGGAAATTAAATCAAGGAACAAGGTAACCCGGCAACGAGTGGAAGCAGAAACTGGTATGCCTTCTGAGGTCTTATGTTAGGTGGCCTGTATGTGGCAAGTGGGGAGGCTGGTTATACCTGGCTTGGAGGTGAGAGAGAGGACCATTCACCGAGTTCGCTAAAGCAAACCCTTAAATAAGAGGTTCTTTACTTTTTTGGTCACTTTCTCCTTGGAGATTATGTTCAGAGCTCAGGGCCTTTTCCAAGAAAATATGTGCAGGACAAAATTTTATATAGATTTTTTTGGAGCTCTAAAAGGTGGCAGAAGGGATTAACGTGATCACAAGGGTTGATCAACTACCCTATTTGGTTCTCTACCATTTTTTTCCCCTTTCTTTAAAATCAAACACCTAAAGATGTTTTGAAGATTTCTAAAGAAACAAAGCGTATGAGGCTGCTCCCTGGGCTGGGACCCTTTCTTTCTTTTTTTGTAATGTCTTTAAAAATGTTATTCCAGGAATTCCCTGGTGGCACAGTGGTTAATAATCCACCTGCCAAGGCAGGGGACACGGGTTCAAGCCCTGGTCCGGGAAGATCCCACATGCCGTGGAGCAACTAAGCCCGTGCGCCACAGCTACTGAGCCTGCACTCTAGAGCCCGCGATCCACAACTACTGAGCCCGCGCACTACAACTACTGAAGCCCGCTGCGTGTCTAGATCCCGTGCTCCGCAACAAGAGAAGCCCCCGCAATGAGAAGCCCACGCACCGCAACGAGGAGTAGCCCCCGCTCACTGCAACTAGAGAAAGCCCATGCACAGCAACAAAGACCCAACGCAGCCAAAGATAAACAAATAAAATAAATAAAAACAAACAAACAAAAATGTTATTCCAGAAGCCACAAGGCTGAGCACTGTACTGATTGAGGAACATTTAGGATCGTTCATGCCTTGGAGCATACAATGAGATTTTTATTATGCTTAAGCTATGATAAAATCATTGAAGGTGACATACCAGGAAGCACATCCCTAGGGGGATATTAACAACTTAGCATTTTCAGTTCAAGTGGGAATATGAATTCCATTTGCTTAAGAAAATAATTTTGATACAGTTAAGAAAAAATGTTTCATTGTGATAATGTTTTAAAATAATGATCATTCTCCTTGACCTTTTTTCCTGGCTCAACAAAAATGGTCTGTGAGCAAGTTGGTCTCCAGAGGCCATAGGTCAGGCCTGTCCTATTAACATGTAGAGAAAATCAACAAATATTTGTTTATTCTCCACCGTGCCTTTATATAACAAAAAGGTATATATTCATAATTAGCATTAAGTAAAGATTAATTAAGATGTTTAGATAGAAAGAGATTGCTTCAAGTGGTAGCTAATAGCTGCTTGGGCTGCCATAACAAAATATAGTAGATGGGGTGGTTTCAAAAATTGAAATTTACTTTCTCATAGTTCTGAAGGCTAGAAGTCCCAGATCAAGGTCTGGCAGGGTCAGTTCCTAGTGAGGGCTCTCTTCCTGGCATGGAGATGGCCGCCTTCTTGCAATGACCTTACATGGTGGAGAGAAAGACAGCTCTCATCTCTTCCTTTCCTTATAAGAACATTAATCCCATCATCAGTGCCCCACCCTCATGACCTCATCCAAATCTAATTAGCTCCCAAAGGCCCCACCTCTCGATACCATCACATTTGGGGGCTAGGGCGTCAACATAAGAGTTCGGGGACAGGGGACACAGTTCAGTTTGTAGCAGTATTGTTTTTGGTTAATTGAATATACTTTCTGTGTTGGGGTGTCCTGGATAGTCCTGTAGGAGATGTACTAAGGTTACGTCTCTGTTTCAATAGTTCAAGTTTCCCCAAAGGTTTTAGAACTGCAGGTTTACATATTATTAAAGCTCATGACTTCAGGTAGGCCAAATATCATATGACCATTCTAAAACTCAGTTGATTATAAAGATTAAATGTAGGTTTTAATCTCTGACATAAGACAGGTAATTTGGCCAGAGAACATTTAAGCAATCTTAACCCTAATTTTTAAAACTCCATTTCTGAAAACTCTGTCCTGAGAGGAATAGCATTATGCAGATCTCCATCTTTATTTACAGCCCTGCTGTCCATGTCCATTGCATAGCAATGTAATGCAAGCCATAAATGGAATTTAAAGTTCTCTAGTAGCCACATTTTTAAAAAGTAAAAATAAACAGGTTAAATTTATTTGAATAACATATCTTATTTAACCCAGTATATTAGACATACTATCATTTTGACATGTAATCAATATAAAATATCAATGAGATAGTTTACATTCTTTTTCTGTGTACACTGTCTTGAAAATGGTGTGTATTTTACACTTAGAGGACAAACCAATTCAGACTAGCCAAATTCAAGTGCTTGATAGCTACATACGGCCAGTGCTACCACATTAGGCGGCTCAGATTTAGAGGAATTATATGATTTCAACCATGCTGTGTACATAGATATGACTACACCTGGTTATTGTTTAACCCTCAAAAAGAAGCAGATAAGCAGGATGGTATTAGGGCTTGAGGCTGTTTATAAATCTCTGACTGGAGTCTCTGCAATTGAAAATCCTGTAAGGAGATTCTGAATCCTTCAGGAAGATTTAATAAGTATTAACTTTTCATTTTATGATGATCGCCCTTCAGAAGGGTCATAGAAAGAATAAGAGGCAGAGCCTCTTATTCTGGAGCCTCAGTTTATCAATTTGTTGCTGGCATAACTCAAGTTTCCACTTTCATTTACTTTATGGGTTTAGCAACTGTAACTTAAAAGACAGGAGGTAGTATCTGTAACAGATTACTTAAGTGAAAATGAGATCTTGGAATGTGTCACCCAAAATGTTACCTTATATTTATATGAGGCTTCTCTTATAGGAACTCAAGAATACTTACACATTATCTAATGCTCTTAATTGCTATAGAAGGTTGGTAGATATTAATATTCCAATTTTGCAAATGAGGACAATCAGTTTTCATAAGACCATTTTTTAGTGAAACTCGAATGCCGTACCGGTTTCCTGACTCTTAAATGTGATATGTTAACCTTACTACCTTTCTGCCATTTCTTTAAGATAAAAATTTAATGTTCTTTTTTTTATTAAGATCTAACTTATATACAGTAAAGAACATGCCTCTTAAGTGTACACCTCAATCAATTTCTTTTGCTTCTGTCTATATCCGTATAACCGCCCTCCCTCCAGGTTAAGATCTAGAACACTTCCAGCACACCGGTCAGCTCCCCTGTGGGAGCTGCTCCCCTCCCAGCAGATAACTCTTACAAGGACGCCGCAAGTCTAACCTCTACCACTAGAGCTTGGTTTCACGTGTTCTTGAACTTCGTTAA